AGTATTGTTTTACAGCCTACAGACCTGAAAGTAGAGCTGGAAAATCCTTCACCTTTCCTCACCATATTTATCCCAAGAAACCCGTGGTCACATCTCAAGGGGGACATTTATACTTGGACTTAAATATCAGGACTGCATGCTTAAGTATCACGCTTTGGTAGACACTTTGACAACGATAAGCTCTTTAGAACTCGGTTAAGTTTAGGCGCTTTAGTACTTTATTAAGTATTGTCAAATGTCATGATTTGGGTTAAAAAAAACAACCCTTTCACAACATGTTGGAAGTCTCACCTTTATTTTTAAAGTAACTAAGTGAATAACAAAGATATGTAGATTTGAAAAGCATACATCACAACGCAACATTATCTGGTGGAAAATATGAGCTCTTCAAAATGCAACTGAGAATTCAATTTGTTGTGTAGAAATGGAGCTCCGTGGAGACAGTTGTTGGTTGTTTATGTCAACACCCCTCTAAGATTTATCTCATGAATGACCACCGGGTTGGGAAACACTGACCTCAGGACAAAAGAGTTTCTCTAAAGAGTATGAAATCCTTGAATGTTTCAGACACCAAGTAAACATGAAAGCACTGAACAGGAGCCACATTTTTGTGGACTCAGATGGAAGAAGGTGAGAGGTCGGAGAGAAAGCTGCCTCCTTTTGACCTGAGAAAGGAATTTATTGCTCTCTCAGACACTTGCAGCTAATTCCATCAGGGATTGGAGCAGGAGGGATGGGGGGGGACGGTTGCAGATTTACTGACTCCCCTCCCTCAGTCTCAGCTCCTCCGTCATTGGTTGTTTCCTGCACTCAGGCATCCAGCTGGGCTTCATGGTGTCTGAAAGCTGCTCTGCTCCCTTTCACTTGTCTACAGCAGATATTTATGTCTGAGCCCCTTTGTCTCTTCACTTCTTTTACATTTTTCTTGTGTCTTTGGGCATTATATCTTAAATCAGCCTGTATTATTTCAGCATTGTTCATTGAAAATTTCATTTTTTTTTTCTCTTGAATGATTTGTTAGAGAATATTTTATTTATTTATTTTAATTTTTTGCACAGTAAGGTGCTAGAGCTTAGCAGAGTGTGTGAAACTGTTAAGCTTTCACCCAGTTAGATTTTCGGAGCATCATAGCAAAGCGAGCAAAGACTCTCTCTGATAATCCTCTTACACATCGCTGCCAATGCACACACAAATACAGTCGCACAAAAACATCCAAAAGTAGAACCAACAAATACACCTTAGTACACTAACCGCAATCTCGGACGAGGAATTCAGTTTTATTGTGGTGCTGTATTTTTTCCAACCAAAGTGAGGCCTCGCTGCTTGTCTGCTTTACCTTTGAGATAAGATTCTTGTCCTGAAGGCACAAATTCTCCATCTGGGAGTCACTAATGTATTCACTCATATCTTTAATACTCCGCTGCCACTCCCAGCCCTGCTCAGGGAGAGATTTGTGCGAGGTAGCTGAACCTTCAGAGCTTTAGGATCACACCTGCCTCTCTGTGTGTAGTTGTGAACATGCACCCGTGTGTAGCCCGCCCAGGTATGACTTTGCCACAGCAGGGGTCTGCAGGATGAGTGTGTGTGTGTGCAATGAAAGGCAGTTATTGAGCGGCTGAGAGCCAAGACAGCTGAGTGGCTCCTGGCTCGGTGCTGCGGACGTCTTCTGAAAGCCTTGACCCACTTCCAAGTCTCCTCCCCCCCACGCTAACCCAAACACGCTGCATACTGAAGCAGCTCCGCCACAATCTGCTGAGCTGCAGTGAAGCTCTGCATGCAGACACTAGGGAGACTGACTGTGTCAGTCTAATAAATAGAGTGCAAGTGTGTGTCTGTCTGTGCTGCAGCATTACACTGCATGTGCGTAGATGGTTTGCAGAAGGTACAAGACCTTGGGCAAAGTCATGGAGAGATGCTACTTCTCTTGCATATATTAATGAGACCCTCACTAGTTGTTACCAACCGACTCAGCAGCAGCAGCAGGATTCTTTTTGGTGTGATGATGAAGAGCTGCAGGAACAAGAAGGGGACATGTAACGGTGATGATTTGGATCCAATCTAAACCCTTGCAAAACAATTCTGCTGCAGAGAGGTGTTTTCAAGTAATCTGCCAATTATTTATCAGTCATTTGGTTTACTAAACGACAGAAAATAGTAATAAGTGCCCATCATATCTTTTTAAATCCCAAAGAAGCATTTCAGATATCTTGTTTTGCGTGAACCACAGACCCAAACACAAAAAAGGGAAAGCAGCAAAATCTGCACAAATAAGAAGCTGAACCAGAATATGTTGGTCTTTTGGCTTTAAAACTAAGTAATTGACCATTATTACAGTTGCAAATTGTTCTATCAGTTGAGACAGAGAAAATATATGCATTGCAACTAATACATTGCCAGGCATACTTATAGTTTTAACATTCAGTCTTTTTGGATGGTATATTTATTTTAATCTTGAACCTGTTCTGATTATGTTTGTTTCTGATCCTGGAGGGTTCAAGCTGAGTTTCAAACTGATGCATTGATGTAATGTACATACACAATGTCAGCAGCTGATTGCATTAAATTGTAGCCCTTCTGAAAAAAAAGAACAATAAAGCCCAGGTTTGAACTCAAGCTGTCAATAAACAAAAAAAAAAGAAAAACAATAAAGTCCAATTGATCAAATGTAAATCCCGCTTCTGTAATCAGCCATTGTAATCCGGTTTAAATATATTTTGAAAGAATGTCAAAAATCTTTGACTTTTTCAGAAAGATAGGACACCACAGCAGGTTTTTGTCAGAATAAGCCAAATCCAAACAACAAGGACTCAGCAAAGCCACTAAAATCAAGAAATTAAAATTCATGGTAATCAAAACAGAAGGAAGCAGGGATGAGATATGGGACAAAGTGAATGATTGTGCTCCTGCCTTTAAAGCCACGCACACTATTTAATACTTGCAGATGTCGTTTTAAGCTGCCCTGCGCTGAGACGGGGCCAGACGGCTGGCTGATGGAAGAGAAGCTCCACTGGGAAGAAGTGGAGACACTCACTTAGTCATGGATGTTAGACACAGAGATTTAGACAGATTACAAACAAGCACACGCAAGCCTGCAAGCATGTCAGCAGTGCACTGTCCCACCAGTGCACGGCTGTGTATTCCATACGCAAAGGGATTAGCACACATTTTGATTTATGGGCACATGCAGAGCAAATGTGCCTACTTACATGAAAACACAGTGTTTACAAGATGAAAATGTGCAGAGAGAGAGAGACTGTTTCAAATCAATGGGAAGATCAGCAGAGCGCTACCTGGGTTTTCCAGTTTTCTGTTTCCAAATGTTGTGTTCAACAAAAGGTCTTGACTCATATGAGATTATTATCATCTTTCATGTGAAGTAGCTCTTATCGTCTGTCATCAGTTACCAGGAAGTAACCTTTGCTCACCACTTTTATTTTGAATATAAAACCAGAATCAGTTCATCATTCTGTGTGAAGTTATTTGCATTATCTGTAACTTGGAAAGTGATCACCGTCTGTCTCCATCCCTTTGTCTGTCATCTGTGCTTCAGTCTGTCAACGTCTGATGTCTATCGGACAGACTGACAGATTCCCGATTAAACTCTGGTGACAGATCAGACAGAGATCCACAAATGAGTATGTCTTCTGGGCTCAGTTTCAGACTGTCTGCCCAGTCCTAGATTGTGGTACATTGATCTGGCTGATTGGCCAGTTCAGCACTTTAAAGGTGGTACTGATATAGATATAGATATAGTCTCTTTTCAGCAACACAGTGATGTGTTCCATAATTACAAAAGATGATAAAATTGTTTTTGGACATTACTTCAAGGTTCTTTTTTTTTGTTGCATTACTTAACCTTAAAATGTTGTTAAAGCTGGGGTTGCCAGTATTTATTTTTTTTTTGGCATCACTGGACAAAAAAAATCCATAATAACCTTTCAGCATATTATATTCATGTAATCTGAGAAGAAACTAGACTTCTGCAAGATCTCCTTCTTCTTCTTTCAGGCTTTAGAAAACCTAGCGTGTCACAGGAGATTTTAACCAATCACAGGACTTTTCTCTGATTATACGATTATACGATATTAGAAACCACAATAAAATCCACAGTATGAGCAGGATGTGATACAACTGGTTGCATGGCAGACTTTCACCTGGGTGATTGAGATTTGAAACCCAGGTAAAGCTACAAAGGTGAAGATGAAGCTGTAAATTTTCAATTTTTTTATTTTTATTTTTTCACCTTTTCCAGAGTCGTTCCTACTGCAGCTTTAATACAGCCGTGGTTCTACCTGTTTTTTGCCTTTTCCAACAAACACTCCAGCATGATCTCACTTGTCTGTTGACTGGTGTGTGATACATCCACAAAGGGACTTGTCATCATCGTGAAAACTATAATTTGGGGCTCTGCAAGGTGTCATTAGGAGGGTTAAACTATGGTTTATGGAGCACAGTACAATGTAACATATATAATGTTCTGTCAACACAATAACAACTTCACTTGGTGTTCGCTTCTTATTAGAGTTCCTGGAGGTCTGACGTGCCAACTGAGTGACACACTAATGCTGTTCTGCTCGCTCACATTTAATTTTAGGGCTTTTACCAAGGAAAAGGCCAAAATATTTTCCTGTTTCATCTTTAAACATATGAGCAAATTCAACTTGTTTTGCTTTTTTTTCTGTCTTAGGTTTTATGAATTGAGAATTTTGGAGTTTTGTACTGATGTTTAATATATATTCATCATTTTGGGCTCAAGTTGCTATCAAAATAGTTAATGGACCCACGAGAAGAGAGTATTATTTCAAAAAACTTGTAAAATGACAGTAAGATGTGCAGCTCTTTTGAATATTAGACTTTCTCTTGTTTCTGCCGTTTGTCTGGATGTGTTTTCATGTTTACTGGGATCTAAAAGAGCAACGGCATGATTTTTATCTTCAGGCAACCATCCAAATGTGTCAATTAAGCGCTCATTGGTCTATTTTCGTCTCCTCGTCTTTCAGGTGTTGTGAGTGCAGCGCCTCACTGTCCCACTGGTATTATGAAAAAGATGGACGGCTTTTCTGCAAGAAGGACTACTGGGCCAAATTTGGGGAGCTGTGCCACGGCTGCAACGACCCGATCACCACCGGCCTCATCATGGTAAGAGGATCTATCACCTCTCATCACCTCCCGCGCTCTTTGTTTGCTGATAAACCTCAAGTTACAGCTGCGACACTCGGAGAGTCCATACATTTACAGTCCCGCCGGCTGCCGTGCACCAACATACATAGACGCACACAGGATCCGTGCCAGACCTGTAACTGACCCTGATGCCTGCGGCTGCTTTGTCAGGTTGTCTTACGGACCACCAGTGAAAGTCAGGGCTGTTGTTGTGACACAGGAGAGGATCTCGTGCACAATAGATGCGGTCGCAGCGCTGGAAAGCAGATAGACTCAACTTCTGCTGCTGCATTATAGAGAAGACAAGATACCAACATGAGAGGAGAGTTGCACCTATTTGTTGATTAGTGATGGAATAGCACACAATCAAAGCTTGGACAAACTGATTAATATTATATGTCGGTGTAATAAAATATGTCGTCTTTGTATGCCTCAGTTTCCTGCAGGCACAAAGTGGCAAAAAAATACAGATGCAATGCAGTTTCCTTGGAGCGGGAGTTAAATTTTGTGCCTGTGTGGTGAACTCTGGGCTGCAAGTGAACTCATCGCTGGTGAGGTGGTTGGAGACGGTTCGCCGAGGTCGTGTTTGTGCTGATTGGGTGGTTCACAGTGCAATTTTGGCTTAAAAACAGGCTTCTGTGCTGCTCAGGTCACCTCTTAACACAGTCATTTTAAGAACTTTCATTTGCAGTACCACACACACACACACACACAGACATCTCCAAAATGATACACAAAGTAATGTTTGTTGAGTTTTGGTTTGCATAGTTTCACCATTAAAGTCATTTTTTGAGAAAAGATTCCAAACAATCTTGAGGTGCAGCTTGTTAGTTATGGGTATCTGCATCTTATCCTTGTTTAATGTGATAATAAACGAATTATCTTTAGTGTTTCGGAGTATTAGTCAAGCAAGATAAGACATGTAAGAATGCCAACTTCATATTAGAAAATGAAACAGTGTAATACAGTCTATATATCCTGGATTTTTAATGCTTGGAGCCACAATTCTTGTATTTAGCAAGTTTTTCTTAATTTAGTTTTCAAATGTGACAGTGTACCTGGACCCTGCTGCATGTTTACCACACACTTTCCCTACCTGCTGGCTTTTTTGCATAAGCTGCTGGGTGTATTTAGAAATATGATCAGTGTGTGGAGTTGATTTATGGAGCACACATTCTGGTAAACTGCAGAGTTGGTCTTTGCTAATCCTTATTGTGTTCACCCTTCCCAGTAAGGTAGAATTTGAATCATCAGTTGTGGTTGCAGGTGATATGAAAATTCTGTCAGCTGTGGGAGGAAATATGTGAAGCTCGTATTGTGGAAAACTGCCGCCCGTCTACTTTGCATGAAGATTATATGATGGGAAATTATCTACAGCCAACAGTAACTAATCATTTTAGAAGGTGTTATTAGTAGCATAAAAAGTGCTTTTTGAAGTGGCATTTCATTCAAGTAAGCTCAAGTTGTACCTCAGTTGTAATTTTATGAGCATTTTTAGGTTTAATTTTATACAAAATGTTAAGTGTTTTTTTTTTGTTTTTTTAAAACTTTCCTTTTAAATAATTTTAATGGAGCAAACTAGGGTGGTTACAAAATGCATAGTGGCTAGCCAATGTGATAAATTGCCTCTAAAGCCACCCAAAAGCCAGACTATTGACTGAATCAATAATTCACTCACTGTCTGTGGTCCTCTGATAGAGGAAGTCTGCTAAAGTGAAAAGCCGAGGTCATTCTTTGCACACAAAGTATCTGGTTTGACACATTTGCCTCCTGGTCAGAATGTAGTGTTTGAGCGAATGTGTGTGAGTGTGTGTGCATTTTATCATTTACACTGCCTCAGACAGTTGCCCTTTGCAGTTCAATCTCATTAATGAAACATGTAGGAGACTCTAAAGTGAATTGGGTGGAGGAATCGCTGCTTCTTTCTCCTCTGGTTTATTGCTCCTCTTACAGTGCAAAGTCACTGATTGAATGTCTCTGCAGTGGCACTTTAGAAAATTTGACATCGGTCAGCCAACCAGGCTTTAAATGCGAAGATGGCCAGACCAATTGGATTACAGTGTAGACGTGCAGACCGAGGTTGGCTACCTACGTCTGCGCCGCACCCAGAAAGAAAAGAAGGAGGCATGTGCTCCAGTCCTGCACAGTCACTCTGACACCTGTGCAGATTCACAGAGAAACCTATTTTTAAAATTCACTGATGCCACTGAGTCTTAAAAGCTGCTGTCACAGTCAGTGAAAACACTGCAAGCTCCATGATGCAGCGATGAGTCAGAGTCTGCAGACGGACCTGATGGTCATCCAGTGACAAAATGAGTAAGAAGGAGCTGTGTTTGTGTTTCATGGGATTTCATCACCGCTGCTCCAGTCATGTCCTACAGACAAAAGGAAGTCGAATTGTTTGTTCAAAATTACACTTTTATAACAGCCCTAGTCGTTTTCCCAAAGGATGGAGAAGATACATTTTCAACAACAGCTGATGAGGAGGCCTTGAAACAAGTGACTAGTTTCTAGTTTGCATCTGGATTTCTTAAGAGATTTCTAATGATTTTTGAGTACATTTTTGGTCCACTGAACCTACTCGATCTTCCCCCCACTGTTTCTGTTGGCAGTATTTAGAGCTTTTATAAATCTGGGTGTCATGTCACTATGTATGCTGTAGCCTTAATGCCTCAGTGTGCTTCCACCCAAGTGCTTGCTGGATTATTCCACAGCTTGAGATAATCCTTTTGAACTTTGGAATGGGCAGTTTGGTGTGTGTGTTTAATGGTTTTTGCAATTTTCCAAAACCAACAATGCAGCAAGCTGCCAGCTTAACACATCAATGGAAGTGTGTGGAAGTGAGAAAGTAGGCAATTTTCTTTTTTTTGTTTTTTACACAGTTGTTCAAGTCGATTTTTGGTGTGTGTGTGTGTGAAACAGAGTACAACACAATTAATGCCCTAGATGAGAGACTCTCCAAAAATGTGTGGTTTGATGTACGTTTTTATAGGTAAGTTGCCCAATCTGAGCAGAAATTTACAATTTTGTTGTGGCTGGAAGAGACACCATTTAACTTGAATCCTTAAGCTTCTCTGGTTTGGCTTCTTTGTTGCCTGCCATCATCACCGTACCTCTCTCTATGTAGCTACAGTCCAATAAAGGAATAAATGAACCTCAATCAAAGCTTGACAGTAATTATGTAACGGAAGTATTAGACCATAGCTAAGATACAAGATATGCAGAATGCAGTGTGTTAAATAATTTGTTCAGTGTAATAAAACAATAATTTGGCTTGTGAAGTTGCTCGGTTACTCTACAGATGGGTTTGCTCATTTGGCCCTTTTGGGATTTTCTCATCTATGTTAGTTAGATTTTTATGAGTCAAAGCTCCAGAAAAAGAAAGTAGGTGGTTTCTAAAATCAAGAATGATTTGGTGTTTTTTATATCTCTGACATAATTTTGTCAGTAACACAGCTGCCCTGTGGATGGGGCCATTGTTCTGATTAAATATTAAGTCCTGGACTATAATACATTGAGGAGACTGTGTGTGTTTTGGTGCAGTATGAGTGTGCTGCCGTGTGAATATTTAGCTGCTAACAGGTGTGTGTCTGCTGCTTCTGCTCCTGTCAGCACCTTCAGCCTTGAGTAAACTGGAAGTAATTCAGCTGGATGATGGTTCTCAGTTATTTACTACCCACCTTTACTCAGACTGATTTATGTGATGAACAGTGAGCCAACTGATGTAATTGAATTTTCTTTCCTCTCATCCCTCCTTCCTTATGTCCGTCCATCACACCTCCCACTGATAGATGAACCTACAGTAATCCCAGTTGCATGCACATTTAGTCTGGAATCCGTCAGCCTTTCTGCAAACAAGTCAGGGCGACGGGAGTCGAGCCAGACATCGACCCGATCCGGTTAGATGTCTGGAGTTTGAGAGAAGATTTTGTTTTTACGGTTTGTCGCTTCCTCAGCGTTATCTTCGCCTCAACGCTCTGCCATCAGCCTGCTCCTCATACCAGAAAGAAGTTTCTAACATGTAATGATTGCGAGATTATGTTGATTAGGGATGTCATGACGCCAATTCAGTAGTTTTCTTTAAAGCAGAAGAAAAAAGACCCTTCCTTGATATGAGCATTGTTGAATCTATGAGTAACGTTATCAACGCCTATGTCTGTCTCTTCATGCAATCCCAGACTGACTCAGTGATGACCAGATAAGAACTCTGTTGTTGGAGGTGGTTCTTTATGGACTCTGGTTGTGTGTTTGGGTTGTTGTCATGGAGCAGAAATAATTTCAGATGTCTCCCTGATGGTATTGCGTGATACATAAGAAATTAAACATCTGAATTTAATAAAACTTTAATGCAACACTGTATATTTGAGACTCAACTGTGGCTGGCTTAGGACCCTTTTACGAAAATAGAAGTAACAGATTCTTTTATTTCAGTTTCATAAAGTTACAGACATTGTTGGACGTAACCCTCCCAATTACACTGTTGGTAGCTGCTCATTATAAACCTTGAGTTTATGTATTGGAAAAGGTATGGGAAGAGGAAAACGTCTGTACTAACTTAGCTTGAATTAATGATGTTTGTCCATTAGGTTACAACTTCATTAAAAAGTGGCAATTTAGAAACAGTTCCTTTCCATAAAGTAAGAATAATGAATTAGTGCTATAAAAATGTTACATTTCAGTAATATTATAGTAGCGCTGTCTAAGCTGTTTAGTTGCAGTTTGTCCATCAGGTCCCATTATTGTTTTGCAGGGATGAAGTTGTTTTTTTTTGCCCCTGATCCGATCCGAGTCACTTAATATTCAGTATGTGGTGATACCCAATTCGATTTTCCGAGATGAAACACACTTCAAGTATTGTAGATAAGCTGTAGTACCTGGTTGTGCCACCAGAAGGAGCCTTGTACTGATTCATACTGTGGCAGTCAGAGGAAGCCAGCCAGTTTTGTGTTGGCAAACAGAGAGCATTGTGGGGGTTTAGC